CATCCCGCAGCCAGAGGGTTGGGGCAGCCGTGGCCGGCGTTGCTGGGGGGTGGGAGGCAGCTGGGGGCTCTGCTTACACCAGTCCCTGGTTCTGCGCTGCCCTATCCTGGCACTAACCCTTTGTTTTCTCCGCAGTTCACAGCGAAGCAGCTGGAGAAGCTCGCCAAAAAAGCTGAGAAAGACTCCAAAGCCGAGCAAGCCAAAGTCAAAAAGGTGGGTGGGAGCTCGCCCTGTGCTGGGTGGCTGTGGATCCTGCCTCCTGCCGTGTTCCACCAAGGCACTGGGGAAGGGGGTGGGTTCCCCTCTACAGGCCTCACTGCGTGTGCCAGCTCCACCTCCAAATGTTTTGAGTCTCGCTGTCAGTTCCTGAATCTGTCCGGTGGATGTGGTGCATCCCTGGAACGCTGAGAGGGATTTAATTCCCGTTCAAGGGCGTGCTCAGCATTTTGAGGGTCACAGGAGGGCTGTTTCCTGCTGGAAACCTGCCAGGCAGAAACAGACCACTCTTGTTTATAAAATCTGTGGTGGATTATCTGTGCAAGCAGTTGCCCTTTGCCTTTCCAGGCCCTTCAGCAGAAGAATGTGGAGTGCGCTCGTGTCTATGCGGAGAATGCCATCCGCAAGAAGAATGAGGGGCTTAACTGGCTCCGTATGTCTTCCCGGGTGGATGCGGTGGCCTCCAAGGTCCAGACAGCAGTGACGATGAAGGGGGTAAGAACCTCTGCAATGATATGGGGCTTTGAGACCAGTCTGTGCCCTGCAAAGAGTGAACGTTGGCTCTTCCCCTCTCGCTGCCTTGAACCACTTTGGACTTCCATGTCCCTGGAAGGAGTCCTACCATGCTTTGTGGTTAGCTCAGACCCCCTGGCTCCGGTGCAGCCTGTGAAGAGCCCATGTGGGATGGCCTCACAGCAGGTCTGCTTCACTGGGGGCTCAGATTATAACCTTAACCCGTGGCTGCACATAGGGAGAGGCTCATGCCGGGAGCCTCTTGCCTCATGGTGCGTATGAGGGGGTTGGGCTGGGACCTGTCCTGTCAGGAATGCTGCCTGAGGTCTTCAGTGACTGAACGTGGCTGGAGAAACCTGTGGCCAGCCTGAACCTGCAGAGATCCATCTGCAGCGTCTGGTGAGCAGGCAGAGCCTGTCCTGCCTCGTAGTGCTGCTGTGACCATCAGAAATGCTGGCTTTTCTCTCAGTGGCCTGGGTTTTACTCTCAGCAGTGGTGTACCTTGCTTTTGGGGAGCACTGGTGAAGCAATCTGCTTTTGCAGGTGACGAAAAACATGGCCCAGGTGACCAAGGCCTTGGACAAGGCTCTGAGCTCCATGGACCTGCAGAAGGTGTCTGCGGTGATGGATAAATTTGAGCAGCAGGTTCAGAATTTGGATGTTCATACGTCGGTAAGTGCCGGTGGCCTCTGCAGGGTCTGGGAGGGCTGGAAGCTGCTTGGTTCAGGAGGGTGGGTTTGTCTCTGAACCGTAACGTGCTGCCTCCCGGGAGAGAGCCGGGTCCCAGCTGTAACTCAGGCTTCTGCAGCAGTGCTCTTTCCCCTCGGGGACTCCAGCCTCCAGTGTGGGAAACCCCCTGAGCTGTTCGCATAGTTGTGTTCTCTATATTTGAAGTATATGAGAGACATTGGGAAAGACACAGCTCTGCTACCTGATGGGGAAGGAGCTTGCCGTGCAAAGAGGCAAATGTGGCAGTCAGGGAGAAGAGGGAGGGTGACTCTCCCTGTGTCATAGCTAGTCGTTGCTCAGAGGGGGTCTGGGGAAGAACCAGACCTTGTGCCCTTTTGCTGTAGCCCTGCTGTCAGGCCTGAGGCTTTGGAGGCTGCTCTGGCTAAGGGGGTGGGTGGCTTTGCTTGTGGGGCAGGGTGACACGCCGTCTCTTGTCACAGGTCATGGAGGACTCCATGAGCTCCGCTACCACGCTGACCACGCCGCAGGAGCAGGTGGACAGCCTCATCGTCCAGATCGCAGAGGAGAACGGCCTGGAGATCATGGACCAGCTCAACCAGCTCCCCGAGGGAGCTTCGGCAGTCGGGGAGAGCTCAGTCCGCACCCAGGAAGACCAGCTGTCGCGGAGGTTTGTTCTCTCCTGCGTCCTTTGCCTTGTGTCGAGGCAGTTTGAATCCTTCCCAGGGATCCCTCACCAATATGAAGAGCGTGAGTTAGCCCATCACAGCAGGCCGAGTGGGTGCTGAGCCCCCTCTCTCACGCTCAGGCAAGCCGCAGCCCGGCAGTCCCCGTGGTACCCTGGGCAGGCAGGCGAGGTGGCTGTTTGGGGATCTGGGACCGCTTTGGGCCTGGCGACGGGGGTGGCTTCTGGCACTCACCAGCAAGCTCTTGTCGATGAGGTGCAGAACAGTCTCCCCCTGCTCTGTGCTCGCCCTCACGCAGCTGCTGCTGCTCTGGGAACGCTTGGCGCTGACCTTCAAACAGCTCCGGGAACAGGCTGTCTCCCTGGAACTGCCCCAGGAGAAGCTGATAAGCTTCCTCTCCCCGGTCCCTCCCTGCTGCTCCCCACGCAGCTGCCATCGGGGTCCGTCTGGGGACGGCCCCAAGGCTGTGGTGTGCTGCCGTGGGAGCTGGGGATGGCCCTGGGAAAGGGACCAGGTGGGCTGCAGTGGCGAGGCAACCAAAAGAGAAGCCAGGAACCCCTCCTCTGCAGTACCCTGCCTGTGTTGATGGCAGACACTCCAAGTTAACCTCAGGCAGCCACAGCCATGTGCTCCAGTACAGAATTTCTTGCACCTCTGCTGCAGAAGGGAGGTTTTGGGGCAGAGATGTTCTCTGCGTGTGTTGGCTGAAGGGTCCTTCTGAGTCACGGCTGTTTCCTGCGGCTCTCACATCTGTTCCCTCTCATGTTCTCCCTTCTAGGTTGGCTGCCTTGCGGAATTAAGGTCTCCTGTCGCCCCTGCAGACTGCTGCCCTGCACTGCTGGTATGGTGTGTGGGGTGGAGGGGCCCGGGACTCCTTCCCCACCTCTGCTACGTCCTTGCTCTGACCCACCGGCCAGGTGGAGTCGGCCATCCCCTCCTCCAGCAGCACATCCCCAGCACTGCCTGCCTGTGTTTAGACTCTTCTTTTGGGGTGTGACGGTGATGACTTCTCTCAGAGCAGGCAGCGATCCTGGCAAGGGGTTTCTGAGCAGAGACGGCGCCTCTCTGGGCTTGAGGAACGCTTTGCTGGTTCTGATTTCGGGGTGTTTTTCGTTTGAGGGTTGCTGCTGGTTTCTGGCAGCATCTCACCATGCAATGTTCCGCTCCTGATTGAACACTAAAGGAATCCTTCTGGAGGCGGGTGGCAGGATCTTCTGGGGCGCTGCTCACCTGACTCTCCTCCGTGCGTAGCACACTTTTGGTACCTGTTTTAGACCAGGTCTCCGAGCTGTGGGCTGTGTTTTCCTCAGGGCCCGCAGCAAGGAGCTGTTTACAAGGAGCAGGGAGATCCCCACGGGGCTGCCTTCCTCTCGCAGCTGTTTGGGAAAGGTTGTTTTCCCGGCTGTGGTGTTTCTGGGAAGGTTAGTGCCTTGCGGGAAGAGGAGGTTACGCTGTGGCATCTCTTCCCTTGCAGTGACCTTCCCCAGCCATAGCTGGGTGCCCTCTTTGCAGACTTCACCTTCCCGGTCGCTAGTTCCTTGTCCTGCTGGGCCAAACCTCCCCGGAGCTCTGTACCACAAAGTGACCTTTGAAATGCTCATCCTGCCCTGCATAAGCCCGTGTATGTGTGCGTGTAAATCCACGCATTCCGCATCTCCAGCCGCTGTGGTCTGGAAATGGTTATCCAGGCACTGACCTCCCACATGGAACCGGTCCCTGCCTGATGTCCAGCAGCTGGGAATGGATCGCAGCAGCTTCCACCCCCAGGCTTGGAGCTGTGGTGGCCACAGCCTTGTCCCCAGACATCCCCCAGCTGGATGGGTGTGACAGTAAATGCTAAACCATCCTGAGAGCATGTCTGCCTGCGCTGGCTGTGGGTCATCCTCTGGATATCTGCTGCCATTTCCTCTCCGCTGTCCCCACCTTGCTGCATCTGCTGTGTGCGGCCACCTGTAGAGCATGGTACTGAGCTGGATGAGCTGGGGGCTGCTACCAGGGCACTGCCACGTCCCCTCTCCTCCCACTGCTCACCAGGAAACATGGCTGCTTGTCCCTCGGAGCCTTCCCCTGGGGCTGAAGTTTTCTGTGCTCTCTCTTAACTCCCAGGCACTACTCAGCTGCTGGATTGATGGGAAGCTCGCCCGGAAGGAAATGTAGTTTCCTTTGGCTCCCACGAGGAGGATATTTAACCTTCTCACTGTGGGCTGTAAATGGGTGCTGTGCAGGTGCTGGGTCCGGCAGTGCTGAGCTGCGCTGTGAGCAGCCAGGGGCGGGCAGCTGGTCCCGCTGCGGTGGGGCAGCTCTGATTCATCACTTTTAAAGGGAATTTTAATGCGTGCGCAGCTGCTTTGGGCTGTGCCGAGTGGAGGAAAGGGGAAAGGGGGAGGCAGCTCCCTCCCACACCCGGTGCTGGCTGACCTCCCGGGCTGCCTGCGCAGACATGGGGCAGAACTTGCTGTGGGCCAGGGGCCATCTCCCCAGCACTTGCAACCCAAACACTTTTCACTGTCTTGATAATTTCTTCTGAGTTCAGTGGCCTTGGCAGTGTGTGTCTAGTGACCGACAGAGCCTTCTTCCCTGCCACGTGCTGCGGTGGGGACACGGGGTGGCGACCCAGGAGGATGAGGTGGCTTTAGGCTACAAAGTCACTTGCGCATGGTGGAGCGTCGGATCTTGTCCACCCTCCTGCGGGGCTGGGCAGCCTGGCCCTGCACGGGTGCCATGCATGGGTGCCACCTATGGGGCTGGGGGCCAGGACGTGCCCTGCGGCCCAGGGAACCCCTGCCCCTGGAAACGCTCCTTCTTCCAGTGTGATGTTTCTCTGTGGTTTCATTTGTGTTTTGTTTTTTTTTTTTTTTTAAAGCTTGTCTCATTTGCCTTTTTCTTCCTCTCCAACTCCATGTTGATCACCTTCTGCTATTTTAAATAAACAATCCCTGAACATCCATCGCGATGCGTCTGGACCTTCAGATGCAGAGAGGGGGTCTGTGGTCCCTTCTGCCCTGTGGTGCAGCATGATGGCTGTGCCCTGTCCCCTGTCTGGAACAGAGGACCTGTTGCCATGGGGCTGAGGTGAGGAGAAAGGGACCGGCAGCCTCCCTGCCTCCTCTTGCCCAGGGGGTGGGAAGCAGTCACCAGGGCAGAGCTGTGGCTCTCCACCACCGGGGTCACCACCTGGGGGGTGTGGAAGGGGAAGGGGCCCTGATGAGTCCCCCCACACTTTCCCCGCAGGGACGGGTTCCCTTCATGTAGCCGAGCCAGGGGAGAAGTGGGGTGAGCAGGAGCTGCTACGGCCCCGGTGCAGCTGATACCGGCTCGGGGAGGCCAGGGCAGCTGGCTCGAGTTGAGCTCCTTTTCCCCAGCGTGGTTTTTGGGCTGCCTTACGTTCTTCTCTGCGCTGTTCCCTGCCCTTTGCTCATGACCCCACGGAGGAAGCCCCGGTGCTTTCCGCCCTGGTCCTGCCGACAGCAGCTTCACCACTGGGGATGGGTGCTGCAGCCTGCCGTGGTTGCCATCCCGGTGGGGACCGGGCGCATCCCTTCCCCGTGCCCATCCTTTCCCGGTGCCTGGCTGGCAGACGGGGCTCTGTGCCTCAGCCAATTTGCGAATGCCACAGGAAGATGGCTCTCCTTCTCCTGCCTGTTTTCCTGGTGCCCGAAGCCGCCTCCGCTCAGAAGACAGGCTGTTCCCAAATGTGAGAGGAAATTGCTAAGAAGATAATTGAGTAGCCAATTAATTAGCTAATGATTAATGTAAGCATCCTGCGGAGGCAGCCCTACAGCCACTCTGGCCGTGTGTTGCAGCGATGTGTCACTCCCGGTGCGGTGACAGTGTCTCAGTGTCCCGAGCTGGGCACTCACCGGGCCCCTGTGCCTCTGCCCCGTCGGGGCCATGCAGGGGTGGCCAGCAGGGTGTCAGCATGGCTGGTGACCTGCCAGGGTGGCTGGTGACCTGCTGGAATGCCTCATCCCCTCCAGCCCAGGAGCAGGGCAATGGGGCTGGAGCTGGTGGTCCCCACAGGGTCCCAGCGTGGACGCACGGTGCCGGCGGTGCTCGAAGCACGGCTTTATTTTACTTGTGGGGCCGGTGCGCAGGCAGGAAGGGGCGGCAGGGTTGGGCACGGCCTGGCAGCCACTGGGCTGGCCACCGGCATCCTTCCGGGCAGGGTGCTGGGGCTAGGAGAGCAGGGAGCGGAGCAGGGCAAGCGCCAGCGCCAGGGCTACCGGCAGGTGCTGGATTGTGGAAGCACCGTTGGTGTACCCATAGCTGGTCCTGCATGATCCCTCCAGCTCCTCGAAGGCGATGGGTGTCTCCTGAGCAGCCATACCTTGCATGCTGTTCTTCACCTGTGATGGGGGACAGGGTGAGCTCCCGCAGCCAGGGGAAGTCCCTGTGCCGCATACAGCCCCCTGTCATCTTGCAGGTCTCTGTGCCACCATTCCCAATTCCTGTGTGTCTCTGTGCCCCCATTCATCCCACTACCTCCCAAGTCCCTGTGCCACCTCATGTCCCCATGCATCACTGAGTGCCATGCGTCCTGATGTCCCACTGGTCTCTGCTGTCCCATGTGTCCCCATGCCCTGTACATCCCCACGTCTGGCATATCCCCATGCCTCGGGCATCCCCATTCCCAGTGCACCCCTGTGCCTGGTGCATCCCCATGCCACACGTGTCCCCGTACCTCCCTGTGCCTGGCGTTCCCTGTGTCTAGTGCTCCCCCTGTCCTGCTCACCTCCTCCACCTTCCTGAAGACCCGGAGCAGGTTTTCGGCCAGAGCCATCTTCACCTCTGCCTCCGTCCAGTTCCTCGCCAGCAGCTCAGCCACCAGCGCGGGGTATGTGGAGACGTCCTCCAGGTTGGTGGGGAGCCTGTACCACCCCACAGCTCACAGCCGTGCCGGGGGCAGCCAAACCTGGCAGCACCCACCCCCCCGCACCACCCAGCCGCCCACGCAGGGCACAGGGGAGACCCCCCCGTGGCCGGGGATGCGCTGCCCTGTCCCAGCAGCACAGCCCATCCTGTGCCCGTCACCTGCTTTACCTCGTCACACCATCATAGTCCCCACCGAAGCCGACGGACTGGGCACCGGCCACCTTCTTCACGTGGTCCATGTGATCTGTGGGTGTGGAGGGGACAGGGTGAGCAGGGTGGGGGGACGCTGCCACCTTCCACCCACCCAGGAGCCCACCTCACCCGCAACGTTGGCCAGCATGGCTGTGTCCCCACACGTCACGTAGTCGTTGTAGAAGTTGACCATCACCAGGCTGCCCGTGGAAGCCTGGGGGAGAGGCACCCTGAGCCCTGCGGCCTCCCCGGCCACCCCCCCTCCCTGCCTGCAGCCATGTCCTGGCGCTCACCACTATACTCAGCACTTCATCGGGCACGTTGCGGCGATGTTGGCAGAGGCTGTAGGCAGACGAGTGGCTGAAGATGACAGGGGCTTTGGAGAGCTTCAGCACGACCTTCATGGTGTCCACCGAGACGTGGGCCAGGTCCACAATCATGCCCAGACGGTTCATCTCCACCAGCACTGTCTGCAGGGACGGGGACAGGATGGGTGAGGGGTGTGCAAGATACCATGGCAGCCCTGCATGGGGGGACACCAGGCATCCAGGGCATCCATCGCTCGGCGCAACAACCCGGCGTGGGGCTGGTGGGTGCCAGTACCACAACCCCCCACCTGAGCCATTGCTCCCAGGTGCCGCCATCGACCGTGTCCCTGCTCACCTTCCCAAAGGACGAGAGGCCGTAATGCTGGGGCTGCTCATCCTCAGTGTCCACCAGCCAGTTGTCAGCCCTGCGGAGTGTGGAGATCATCAGGGCGGACCCTCCCTGCCAAGTACCCCTGCTCGGCCACACGGCCCGTCCCCTCCCATGCTGGCCCTGTCACCCCATCCCTGTCCCCGTTCCCCTCAGGGGCTGCTACCAGGGGGTGTTGCAGCTGTGGGTGAGGGTCATGTAGCGGACGCCCAGGCGGTAGAAGGTGCGCAGGACGCCCAGGCTGCTGTCGATGGAGTGGCCGCCCTCCACCCCGATGAGGCTGGCCACCTTCTTGTTCTGGAAAGCCTGCTGGATGCCTGCTGGAGGAGGGTGGGCATCAGCCAGGGTGGGCACCGGGGCACCCACGGCACCTGCGTCCCAGCCCTGTGCCCGCTCACCGTTGCTGTCGACGACGCAGGAGAAGGTCTCGGGGTAGAGCTCGCACATGCGGTGCACCACGTCGATCTGCTCCAGCGTGCGCTTCACCGCGTCCTTGTTCTGCGTGTCGCAGGGCACGTACGCCGACCAGAACTGCCCACGACGGCACTTGGTGAGCACCAACAGCCCGGCCCCGTGCCCACTACCACCCACCCCGATGCCCCGGTGCCCACCCCGGTGCCCCTGCCCGCCTCGCTGTCCCACCTGCCCGCCCACATGCCCCCTGCGCAGTTTGGGGATGTTGGTGTGGGTGCCGTTCAGCGTGGTGAGGTTGGCCTCCGGCAGCCCCAGCTGGTTGTTGAACTTCTTGAGGAGCTGCCAGGGCAGGTCGTTGTGCCTGGGCAGGGGAGAGAGAGAGGGAATGAGGGGCTGTCTGCCCGCCTGTCCGTCTGTCCGGCCAGCCTCCTGGCTGCCCATCTCCCTGTCTGTCTGCCCACCCATTCCCCACTCATCCGTCCATCCTTCCATCTATCCACCCATCCATCTGGCCGTCCATCCATCCATCATTCATTCATCCATCCACCCACCCACCAGTCCATCTGCCCACCCATCTGTGCTCCCTGCCAAGAGCTACCCAAGCAGCTCTGGCCAGGAGCTGTGGACAAGTGACTCCCAGGGGACATTCCCATATGGGACCCCCTTTGCCATCTGCGGGGAGGCTGGGGACCCCTCTCCACCCACCATACCCACTCAGCCCTCGCACCCGGGGTGGTCCAGCATCCCTCCATCAGGAACGTCACCGTCACCGCTGTGGGGATGTCACCACCACAGGGACGTCACTACCGCACAGTGTCCTGCATGCAGCAGTATCGCTGGGGAAGTGCTGGGGGCCACACGCATGGGCTGCCTCCCACTTCTCCTCTCCTGCATCACGGTCCCCACATCCTCCGGCACCCCCGGAGCTGTGCTGCACCGGGCTGCCGTGGCACAGGGCTGGTGCCATGGGGGACCCTGTGGAGGACCCGAGCCGCCTGCGAGTCCTGGCACATCCCTTAGGACATGACCCTGCAGGACCTGTTTGTCCCAAGCGGGGACTTCCCCCGGGGCAGTCTGGTCCCCGGCTTCCCGGCACCCTGCCTGCTCCCGGCAGAGATGCACTGCCGGGGATCCCCTCAGCTGCATGGCCCCCGGGGTGTCCGGCACGGGGATCCCCCAGGAGAGCTGTCCCCCTACAGCCCCGGGGTGCCCGGCACGGGGATCCCCCGGCGGGGTTGTCCCTGATGGGGTTTTCTGGCTGGGGTTTTTCTCAGGGTGCCGAGAGCCGCAGCCCTGCCGAGGTGGCCGGGCACGCCACGGGGTCAGGCAACCTTTGCTCACCCGTCGATGACCGGCGTGGTCGTCATGATGCGCTCGGCCTCCTCCCGGTGATGCTGACCGGCGCAAGGCAGGAGCCGGC